ATGTCCTATATTTTGGTAAGCGACATTTCCATCGACCTCAACATTTTAAACCTTGAGTAGGGCTAGGGGTAGACCAAAAAGGACATGGTTAGAAGTGGTAAGAAATTATTTAAGCACTAATAATTTAACAGTGGATATGGCTTTCAATAGAATAGATTTGGCGGAACAGGATTCATGTAGTGGACCCCATATAGTCGGGATAAGGCATGGATGATGATGATATTATCTTGGACTGCCAGGGAAGGAGAACATGGTCGAAGGCATGCCTTAGTGATGGGAGATAATTTGTCCTATATTTGCAGCTTTTGATGCTGCTTATTTAAGGCTTAGATTGGTAGTCTCAATCACATGTAAGCCATTTGGAGGATCTATAATGGCCTTCTTGGCCTGTTGGCCATAGTTACTCTCCCAGGAAAATGCCATTGAAACAGTGTGCATGTCGAGCAGTTTTTTAATTTTCATTTGCTTTGGTTTTCTTTCCTTTTTTTGATCAGTGTTGGCAAGTGTTTCAAGCAATGTTACCTTGGTAGGTGTTGACAAATACTAAGGTTTCTGGCATGCCAAACTTCCAAAATTTATGGCATGAGCAATGAGGATATGTTGATAAATAACTATTAAGTTACAAATAATTTTAAAATATAATTAAACAAGAAAACTAAAGAAAATCTTCAAAAGGTCATAGTGTTGACTCCATATTGGATGCCCTTGTGAACATGAGTTGCAAGTGCTGAGGTTATTTGCTGACTTCAGCTTGAATAATTACTAAGATTACAGGGTCATGTCAAGTGCCAAGTGTCAGCACAGCTAGACCTGTTAGTTTTGAAGCATCCTGGTAATTCTGGTTTCAGGTTTCATTTGTACTACTGGCATCACTTCTTACTTGTGATATAATTCAAATTCCCTAACAACTACACTAGCATGCTTCTTGGGCTTATGAAGCGTCTGTGCCATGTGTATCCATACCAAATATCTGGGCTGCATCTGGTTTTCCTGAGCTCTGGATATTTATGCAACGCCGTGCACAGCTGGTGCAGGGGAGCCTTTGTGTGCTTACACCCAAGTAAGCTTCAGTCAAGGCATACGCTTCACCTATTCCCTAATTTTGTTTCTGTCTTTCAAAGTAAAGAAACAAAGATATTTCTTATGTGGAAATACATCCGTAAGGTTTGATCTTTATGGCTGTTGTTTTATGGGTGAAAACATGTAACACTGCATATTGGGGAGTGGGGATGACGCAGCGTGGAAGCAATGGAAACCGGAGCTGGCTATGCAAGCACCGGGCGTTCGCTAGCACCTAGCGAATAACACGATTTCTCTAGGAGAGAGAAAAGGTGGCGAAAATAGGAAGAAGAGAAC